GAATGCCTTGAGTTCACTTCGACTTTGTGGGCGAAGAGGGGTGTGCAGACTCGAGTTCCCTGGCAGCTCCTCTGCACGGCTACCTGCCCAGCCTGATCCATCAAGTTCTCAGTACTGCAAGGAGAAGGCACAGCCAGCTCCGGGTGGATACAGGCCCCTGATGAGTGACTGGCATCTGAACGATTGACTGAGTCGTTCATGAAATGTGAAGCCGCTATAACCCTAGGCAAAGGTGACCTGGGAACGAACTGTAACAGCTCCCCCAGTGCTTTCCTCTCTCCCCACACACCACCCACACTCAGCAGCCAAGGGGGGCCCATTAGCACTGCTTGAGGAACATCCCCCACTCGCATCCCCATCCTCGTCATTCCCAGTGGCAGCCCTACGAGCCGTGTGATCTAGGCCGTCACTTGACCTTCCAGGCCTCAACTGCCTCATCTGTCAAATGGGGAGAGTAACGTCCGGCTCAGCTGAAGGCGGGGGTGTAGGCACGGCAACCTCTCGAGGTCACTTCTGGGTCTAAGATTGCAGACATGCCTCCGTGGCCAACGATCCTCTCCTTGGAAGTAGCTGGCGTGGCACCCCTTTGCTGGAGACGCTGTGACTTGCCAAGATGCTGCAGCTGCTGTCGCCTCTGCTGCCCCAGCGCCCCCGGCCAGCTCGGCCACACTTTGTCAGAGAAGTGCTGTCCCCTGCGAGCCCTGGGCTTTCTGAATTATCAAACAGACATCCGTGACTTCACCAGGCCGCAGTCTCTCACAGCAGGAGAAACAGAGATGCTTCGCAGAACTGAGATGCTTCTCAGAACCTGTCTCTCCCTCTGTCCAGGGGCCTCTCTTCCTCCTTCCCTGTCCCACCTCTGGGGTTCGAGTTGTGTGGACCTCAACTTCAATGGCACCTTTTCACCTGAATCATCCAGTCAGTCGCGAGCCATGACCCCTCAGAGAGCAAGGAGGCCTGTAGGGGACGGCTGGCTGTGGATGGCAGACCTCGGAGCTGAACCCTGATGTCTTCAGAGTCAGCGGGGACCTTGGGGTTCTCCTGAGAGGTGAGAGGGCTGACCAGGGAAGGCTCCGGAACTGAACTGCTTGAGTCCAAATTGCGGTTCTGCCGCTCGCTAATTCTGACACCGTGAGCAACTTTCCCAGCCTTCCTGCGCCGTTTCCACCAGAAAATGGGACAATTACACTACCTAATGCTTGGAACGGTGATGAGGGTTAGATGAGCTGATCCACATGAAATGCCTAGAACAAGTCGGCACATGGGAAGCGCTCAGCAAATTTTGCTATTACTGTTATTTCTCCAGCCAGTCCCTGTGTCTGAGGATGAGGCCGTGGCGGGGAGCAGGGAGGCGTGCTGGCTGGTGACTTAGAGGCCGAGCAGAGCCAGAGCCCAGGGTCATGGGCTCGCAGTCCGTCTCTTATCTGAAGATCAGTGGGAAAAGAGAAATGGAGACACAGGGACACAAAGCCATCTCATTTGTTCCTAAACTCTCCTACCCTGCCTCCACACCCAGATAGATTTGAAAAGAAAAAAAAAAAAGGCAACAAATTACTGGCAATTTTTATCTGCCTGTTGGCGGGCTTCATTGATAAAACTCGCCGGAAGTCGCTCTGGGGTGTAATCACGGCTCGGGCCGCTGCCAGCATCTGGCTGGGATGACTCAGGCGCCGTGACATCTTTGGTGGGTGAGGCGTTGCTTTCTGTGGGTCGATGAATCACCCTTGAATTTTCCCTGTTAAAGACTCTGACAAGGTGGCAACCTTCCCACAAGCGGTGACTGTTCCCGAGAAGGAGAGGAGGGAGCAGGGAGTCCCCAGGACAGACGCTGGCTGAGGAAGAAGCGAGGGGCTCTGGGCTTTTCTCTCCTACCAGAAAACAAGGGGCGCGTTTCCAAAGACCCCCACTGCCTGGCACGTCCAGGCTCCCCAGGCTCCCAGCTCCTGTCCTCAGAATCGTCCCCCTTCAGTCCTGCTGTGTCCGGTCCTCTGTCCAAGTCACATCACTCTCCTTCTGTCCCCTCTGACCAAGTGTCAAACCACATGCTGCGTTTACGTCCACCTCCAGCCCTTGGCTACCACGGTCCCCTTGCTAGGCATGCCTTCCCTTCTGGTTCTTGCTTATGCCCGCTTTCAGGGTCAGCTCAAGGCCACCGCTTCCCGGGAGCCTTCTCCCTTCTCTGAACACCCACAGCAGCCCAGTCAGCCTCACCGTTTGCCCGCATCATGATAGGCTGGTCTACTGCAGGGGCTAGGAGCCCATATTCTGAGTCAATCCGCCTGGCTTTGAATCCTGCCTTCGCTGTGTGATTTTATGTAAGCTACTACACTCTCTGTGCCTCAGTTTCCCCATCTTTAAACAGGGATAATCACAGGGCAGCGCTGCTAGGAGGGCTAAGCGAGTTAATACAGGTGAAGCCCCATGACTGCACCTTCTTACCCTCCTGTCATATTGTGATGATCGCCACACTCTCTCATTAGCCTTGCAGGAGGCCTGGGGTTCCCCAGCTGGACTGCAGGCCCCTTGCAGGCATAGTCTGGGTCCTTTTCTTCTCTTGTGTCTCCCACCCAACTGGGCACACAGTGGAGTGCACAGGGATGCACTGGACTAAGTGTACAGAATACCAAGCTGCCACGACCTAATTCCACAGGAAGCATGGAACAGCAAAACCCCCAGGTCAGACCTGCGGGGGGACCCGAGGAACATAAGGGATGCTCTTCTGTATCGGGTTGTTTGGCCACAGCTTGGCAGATGAGGGGAGACACAGTTATCTGATGACCAAGTCTGGAAGCCAGCTCTCCTCGTGGATACTTGTCTGTTGTTAGCAGCCCTGGAGATGCCCCAGAGGAACTGGAATTGTGTACCTAGTTTCCCCAAGCCCTGCCCACTCACTACTGCCTTTGATCTGGACACTAGCCCTGCAGGGACAGGGTGAGGTTCACGGTCCTCCTGGAGACTCGGATGTGCTGAGGCTCAGAGAGGTTGGATGAACTGCCCGCCTCTCACTCACTGCAGCCCATCAAGTGAAAGGTGCATGCTGGGCTCTGGATGAAGGGCTTCTCCTCCTCCTGGTCTTCTGCCTGCCCCGTCCCCCCAGTCCTGGCTTCCCCAGCGGCCTGCTGAGCCCAGGTACCTCCACTATGAAGCGGGAGGCAGACTTCCTCTCAAAGAACAGCTTCTGCTCCCTCTTGTTGGTACACAGATACTTCTGCTGGGTGCACACGGCATCACAGCCATAGATGACGATGAAGATGTTGGCGTCTGTCCCAGCAGCAAAGATGTCACTGGTGTACAAGGTAATCTCATAAGGGACAACTAAGGGTTGGGGACAGAGAGCAAAGTCAGAGAGGAGGTGAAAACAGGAAATAAATGCAGGCAAGGTAAATTTCCCCAAGGGGCCAGGGAGCTGCTAACCAGGTACCTGAAACTTCATGCAGCTGCCTAGCAACCACAGGGTAGGGGAAGATGTCCTGTCTTGCCTAGCGCCCTCAGACCAGGGTCTCTGTGCCTCTCACATCACAGAGCTAGTAAAGCAGACTGGCTGGAAGCACGGGCTCTAACCTGATTACCTTTGTGACCTGAGCAAGTCACTTACAAGCCTCGGTTTCCTCATTTGTAAAGTGTTCCCAGTGTGGTCCTTAGCTGTAGACACTCTATACACAGGAGCATTATATTTCAGGGGACAACTGCCAATCGGATTAGCCAGTCTACAGTGTGAGAATCCTTTCTCTTCTGTCCCCAACCCCTGCTCCCAGCCTCTCACTCACTCCACACTGGCCCCCCTGCGCCCCCCAACACAGGCTTCCTGATGACGTTAGTGGAAGGGAAGTGTCAAGACTTCACCAAATTATTCTGCTTCCTCCTTTTCTTTAGCTGGTAAGGCAATTACATTGATCTTCTTTGCAAGTTCTTTTTTTCCCTAATAAGGATAAGATCATATAGTGATATGTTAATGACGGAGGGAGGACTGGTGAGGGGATTGACAATGACTCCTCACTGTTAGACCTTTATCTTCCCTCTGTTTTGGGTCTTACAACCATCCTGCATTATTATCTCTATTTTTAAGACAAGGAAACTGAAACTCCAGACAAGTCAGGATCTCTGCCTGTTGTTACCAGCTGGTTTGGGGTAGAATTTGGAATACATCTCCTATTTCCTTTCCCTGACTCCAGGGCTCTGTGTACAGCCAGCAAAGGGCCTAGGGAATTTATAAAAGACGAATGAGACTCCAATCACCAAGGTGAGTCTGGACAAAGGTCAACAGTGGATGAGGGATTGGGACCAAGCTGGGGTGGTGGGTGATGGGGTCCAGGAGGAGGGCCAGGCTCGCCATGCAAGATTCCTTACATGGTGTGTACCGCCTTGTCTGAAGCTCTGCGTGGAAGAGGTCCCTGACGATGGCCCCATCATCTTCATTCTTGGCCAGCCAGCGGCCACAGGGGAACGTCATGCACTTTCCAAGAGATGGGGCGTCCACCTCTACCCAGTCTACAAACCAGCCCGGAGCCTTGCCTGGAGGGAAGGAGACATGGAAACCATCAAAAACCTCTACACAGATGGTTTCCTCTCATAACCTCAGGGACTCCAAGCATCCTTCCTTACTTGACAGCTGGTGCCCACAGCTCCACTGTGAACATGCCATCCCTTTTGCTTACAGCACGGCTTACATCATTCCTGTTAAAACACGCACCCAGTTGAAGCTGGGTCACACTCCAGGCTGTTGTCAGAGAAATTAGCAAGAGCCAAAGAGCAAGGGGGCGAGATGACAGGAAGCAGAGTCTGATGGAAGGGAAGTAAGCCCTTGTCCAGACTTCCTCTCAAAGAACAGCTTCTGCTCCTTCTTGTTGGTACACAGATACCTCTCCTGGGTGGGAGGTAGCCCCAAAAGGGAGCCCAGAGATGAAAGGGAGAGCCTGCATTAACGAGGACTCTATACTTTCACCCAGTGATGGGTGACACGCTGAACTCCCTGGCCCCAGTTCGTGATGCATGAAGGGGAGGGAAATCAGTGAAGGACTGACGATCCTCCTTGGGAAAACAAGCGCTCAGTCCCGGGGCAGAAGGCAGGCCTCCTTCCTCAGGCTTAGCAAGCATGGCTTGAAGACCAAGAAAATGAGTCCTACTTTACTGAGTAAGAACAAACTTGGGCAACTCCGTTGTCTGGCTGCAGTGTCAGTGGGTTCTGGGAAGGACTGGCTCAATCAGTGGTTTTCAAAGTGCGGTCCCCAGATCAGCAGCTTCAGCATCACTTGTGAGAAACTCTTAGGTCCCACCCCAGATCTACTGAATCAAAGACTAGGGGTGGAGCCCAGAAATCTGTGTTGTAACAAGCCTCTCACGTGGTTCTGACACACATT